AAGGCAGACGCTTAACCAACTGAGCCACCAAGGCACCCGAAAATTTTGGACATTTTTTAAACAGTCTAAGTAGTAGACTGATGTCCTGAGAACCCCTCCACAGTGGGACTTTATTTTGCCCATGTATCTTCAAAGCAGTCTGCTCTAGTCTCTTTGGGTTTCAGATTTTTTTTTTTTAAAGTAGGCTCCACGACCCTGAGATCAAGACCTGAGCTGAGATCAAGAGTTGGACGCTTAACAGACTGAGCCATCCAGGCACCCCTCTTTGGGTTTCAAATAGCAAGGCCTATTAATTTGGAAACCAGTCACTTAAGGGAAGTAATTTTTTCCTTAGCTAAATCAGTATATGCAGATTTTACTGTTTCCTTTTCTCCAAAGTACAAATAGTGTCATGATCTTACATTCATATAGCGATTTTAACTTAAAGAGTATCAAACTTTTGTTATAGTAGCTTATCCTCAGTACAGCAAGGTGATATAACTGAGACAAGTGACATCTCTAACAGATGAGGTGAGTCATGAGGAGGTTTTGTGGCTTTCCCAGGGTCACTCGGTCAGTTGGTTGCAGAGCAATGACCAGATACTAGGCTATGTGGCCCCAACCCATCGCTTTCTCCACTCACTCACACTGCCCCAACCCATTGCTTTCTCCACTCGCTCACACTAATGCTCAGAAATAACACTTTAGTTTTCCTTTTGGCCTTTCTGTTGTGTGTTTTTCTTTTGGAAACAGAGAGAGGGAGCTGGTGAATTGCTATAAAGGTCATACCTGAAAAACAGTCACAGTTGGGATCAATTTTGCAGTCACAGTCAGTAGGGGCACCAGCTATGATGGAGATCTCTCCGTTGGTGGTGACTTGCTGAATGCGGTTTACTTTCCTCTCGTCTGTTTCAGCTATGAAGAGCAGCCCGCTGTGGGAGACGCTGATGGCCCTGGCTGACTCCAGAGTGGAGTGAATTGCCACCTTGCTGACCAAGAAATGATCGATGCCTGGCACCTGGCAGTGAATGGGGCGTCCTGCAATGATCCGCACACGTCTGTTCTCAGAAATTTGCAGCACAATGTTGTTATCCAAGACATACAATGAATTGTCCATGGGATTGACTGCAAGGTCTGTTGGCCACTCTAATCGCACCTGCAAAAAGAGCAGAACACACACCATTAGGTTACAATATCTTTCCAGGGGCAGTTTTACCTTGAAAGAAAAATCGGCTTACTGGTTCCCCCGTCTCAGGAATTTCAGCAACGTTGGTGTTGTCTGGCAAAGTTGGGGGAGGATGGTTGATCAAGTGTTCTGGGAAACATATTTATCATTTATACCATTTCCAACATAATGAAAATTCATTTTCAATAATTCCAGAAGGATCCCCTAGAGCAGTGTTTTTCAGAGTGTGGTCTCCAGAGCAGCAGCAACAACAACACCGGGGAACTTGTTAGAAATGCAAATTCTCAGACCCCAACCTAGACCTACTGAATCAGAAACTCTGGGGGTGGGACCTAGTCATCTGTGTTTTAATAAGCCTTCCAGCATCTTCTGATGCACGCTCAAGTTTGAGGATCAATGCTCTAGGGCTTCTGTGTCACTATGACATACAGATCTCGCTCACTGTCTTGTAGATACATGGAAGAGCAAAGTCATAGAGGCTTCCAGAAAACACAGTGCCAGAGAAACTCGATTTTACTGTAACAGGAACCTTTGGGGACAGGACCTTCCATTAGCACAGACCTAGCATCCACCTTGTGGAACACTCAGACACCGTTTATCAGCTGGTGATGTCGAATCCTAAGTTGCAATGCACGGCCACCTAGCTTGACCTGGCTCACTCCACATTTCCCTTTTCTTGCAAATGGGTTGATTTGTTCTTTCACTGAATATTTGCTGAGTACCTTCTATGGGCTATGCCTTGTGTTAGGCTTTGGGGATTCAAAAGAATGCTATGACACAGCCTCTGCCCTCAAATGACTCATGGTCTGGTGGAGTCCTTGGAAGGGCCATTAGGCAATTATTCTCCGTGTTATGAGAAGGAAGCAGCGGAGAGAGTATAAGAGCACTTCACTCACATTAGGAATCACGAAGCAGGTTATTCTCAGAGATGGTACTACCTGAAATGACCAGTAGGAGAGAAATGGGGTGAAAATGGTGGAGGGTGAGGTGGGAGCAGTGTTGAAAGCAATCCCAGGGAGAGGGAACAGCATGGGTAAAGGTCCAGAGTTTAGAGATGGTGTGGACCATCCAGGTTACTACAAGCAATTCAGTAAGGTTGAAGTGTATGGGAGTAGTAAGCAATAAGAATCAGAAAGTAGTCAGTGGCTAGGTATTATGGATTGAATTGTGTTCCCCCCAAATTCATGCAACCCCCCAATGTGACTGTATTTGGCAACAGAGCCTTTAAAGAGGTAATTAAAATTAAAAGAAATCATGAGGGTGGGGCTCTAATACAGCAGGATTGGTGTCCTTATAAGAAGAGGAAGAGACACCAAAGAGACAGCAGGAATGTGTATGCATAGAGAAAAAGCCCACGTGAGGACATGGTAAGAGGATGGCCATCTGCAAGCCAAGGAAAGAGACCTCAGGAGAAACCAAAGCTGCCAACACCTTGATCTTGAGCTTATGGCCTCCAGAACTGTGAGAAAATAAATTTCTCTTGTTAAAACCATCCAGTCTATGGTATTTTTTTAAAAAGATTTATTTATTTATTTTACAGAAGAGACAGTGAGCAGGAGTGGGAGGGGCAGAGGGAGAGGGAGAGAGAATCTCAAGCAGACTCCACACTGAGTGGGGAGCCCGACGCAGGACCCGATCCCATGACCTGAGTTGAAACCAAGAGTCAGATGCACAATGGACTGCGCCACCCAGGCGCCCCTGTGGTATTTTGTTACAGAAGTCCGAGCCCACTAATACACCAGGTAATGGAGGGATGTGCATGTGCAGCTTTATTCTGATGGCTGTGAGAAGCCACTAAAGAGCTTTAAGTAGGAGTGTGACATATCTGGGTTCTAGAGGAATCACATTGTTTGCTGTTGAGATGATACTAGAAAAGGAGGTGGGGGAAGAAAAAGAAAAGAAAAGGAGGTGGGAGAAGAGGCAGGTCTGCAGTTAGGAGGCTCGTGCAGTGGTCCAGGTGGGGGATGATAGTGCCTGAATTAGGATGGTAGCAGTGGGGATAGAGAGAAGAAGGTGGATTTAAGACATGTTAAGGGAAGTGAGAAGCAAAAGGATTGGGGTGTGTGTGTTGTATCTTGGGCCAGATGCTGGGCTAGGCGCTTGGGACACACAGGCCAACCAAACACAGCTCCACTCTCGTTCCTTCCTGGACACAGCGGTCAGCCCAGTACCTGCCTTGACATCTCCTCAACAGCTATTTTATCACTGGGCACTTCTCAGAGAACTGTGTTCCATGTATTCTGCGCCCCACCACTCACTTACTCTATACTTTATTGCTCTTCCCTTAGGTTGGACAAAGGCAGAGAAATCTGGCCCATTCCTGGCCAAAATAGAAGCAGGAATGGGGCTACTCTTCTTGCCCTGAGTGAAAGCCCAAGGAAGTTTTCGTTTTTCTTACTGAATCTGAAAGTCTGAAAACAAGATCTGGACTGCCACTGCGCTGGGAGGCCCACTCCATCCCCGGCTGGAAGAGGCCTTACACTCAGTCAGTAATGAAGTGGACAAAGGCCAGCGTGAGACAGGCCTTTCCTCTCATTTTGCCTCTTAATGGAGGGCAACTGGTGATGTTGTAACGGGGACAAAGGTGGTATTTGGCCTTCCCCCCCGTAACACTTGGGGCTCTCCGTCCCTGTTTCTGAGTGTCCCTCCCAGACACCCAGCAACCTCATTCTGCCCCCGTGTCACTGCGTGCCCTCAACCTCCACAGAGACTGGCCTTCCCTGGTCAGCACCATATGCCACTGGGCAGCTAGGAATCTGAATGCTAATGGAGTATAAAGCTGAGCTGTGTTATGCATGTTCTACAGAGCCTTTCAGACTGAGGCCATTGGATAAACATTAAACACCAGCTTTAACAGCTCCCAGAGCAGTTTGCTGTGATGTGTTCCTCAGCACGTCTGTCTGAGGCCTGTGCCTGTCAGCGCCCTGCCACCGAGAGGGAGAGGGAGAGGGAGAGGGAGAGCCTGCTGCTGTGGAGGGCGTTGCCTCCTCCGCCATGTGCCCTCGCTCTGGACCTCCATATCCACTATCGCTCCCGTACAGCAGCTGTGTGCGCTGGTCCTGTGGAGCACGGTCCCCCAGGAAATAACCTGGGGCTGGCTGAGGAAGAGGAAATGAATTTATTTCAGTACAGCACTCCTATTTTGGTCAAGTCTGAAGTCAGTGACCCAGAAAAAACAAAGCTGGCAGAAATGACGTTCTAATTATCTCCAGTCTGAGAGCTGAGGCCGGGGCAGAGGCCGGGGACGGCACACACCTGGCAGGAGTCACAGAAGGACATGTTTTGGACTCTGTTCTCTGCTGTCAAGGCTGCCTCTAAGAGAAAGGCTGGTGGTTGGAAGACAAGGTGTTAAATTCTCCAACTCACCCAACCTGATTTAAGTCAATACTACTGGTGTCATGTTTATTAGATTTAATATTGCCTCAAAAATACACCAGCTTTTGCATCTGTTTGTTTTCTTTTCCATCAAATAAGTCACCCTCTGGCAGTTTCCTGTGACTAAAGTGGCCTTTGTGCTTCTGAAACACTTCCTATACTAGCTACACAGAATCCCTTTAATTCCCATTTGATTTGGCTGGGCAGCTTGTCTATGAAATCTGCTCGAATGAAAGATGTGTGGCTACTTAGTAATCCAAGGTCCGCCTTTTCAGAACCTGGACCTTTTCACCTCCCTTAGGTTGTCAGTTCCTTTTATATCCTTCTCATGTTAAATACTCCCATTTCCAGGTAATTTTTTCAAGGAACTGGTGCTTTATAGCCACAGCATAGAAACACTATATTTACTACCGAGGCATTTCCATAACACACAACGTGACATATGGAACGGAGTCCTTGAGCTGATTCAGAATTAGCATCTGTTACCTGTAGAGACCCTAGAATTCTAAGTTACCAAGGGAGGGCTAAGGTTAATCCCTGAGGGTTGCTGGCATTTGTCCACGTGGTTTCTGGGGACAAAGAAACATTTCCTTTGGGGGCAGAAAGAGAATGAACAGCAGGGAAGTTCTGGAATCTCTGCCTGGTGACCTGGCCTACAGGCAAACCATTTGGCCTACTTTGTGGTGGTTGCCCCACCTTGTAAAAATACATTAATTTGTTTGAAATGTCAAAATATATTTATGCTAAACCGGCATGAAAGATCATTGGTGTAGCCGCCAGCTGGCGGAATGTGCCCATCTCCCAACAACATGCCCTGAGAAATAACCCTGAGCAGAAAGGAGCTCTTGGTCTGGATGTCAAGCCTTGACAGCACTATGTTGTCCTCTGCTATTTGAAAATGTGCCTTGAAGGGACTTGACTCTCAGGTCAGCCAGTCCCGTGGCTGGTTTAAAGATCCAGCTACTTTTGACCAAAGCTAACAGTACATAAAGCAGCAGAGTCCTATAGGGGAAATCCATGTGTAAATGCAGTATTTACAGATGAGCCCTCAGTTAGACTAAACTAGAAAATTCCTCAATCATCAGCTTAATCCCACACTGTGGACACAGACCATAATTTGTATACTTGGGCTCTTTCTAACTGTGTGAAGGCTGGTTCCTTCCTGGACTGTGGTGTGTCACCATAGGCAGGTGAGGTACCCTCTGTGAGTGTCTGGTTTCCTCATCTGCCACAAGGGAAGGAGGCTAGCAACAGTGTCTCTGTTAGAGTTACTGCGTGGATTAAATGAGATAGTGAGACGCGGTGCTCATCACAGCACCTGGAGAGAGGAAGGGATGGTAAACGGGATGAACATCCATAATGACTTCAAAGTCATGGACCTTCAGAGCTAGAAGAGATCTAGTCCATGTACCATTCAATGCAGTGCCCTTTTAGTTCTGTTTGCCAGACTTCAGTTGTCGACAGAATGTCTTTATAAATTTTGCCCTGCCCATCCACCACCTGCACTGTTGTTGACTTAATATTTTTCTTTAAATTGACTTACTTTTAAAGTATAAATAGGTGCTTCCCCTTCCTTTGAGAGGATCCTAATCAAAAACACCTATAAAATTCCAGGCGCACTCATCTGAGCCCTTAATAAAAGTAACTACTGTTTATTGAGTGCTTCCTGTGTGTCAGGCTCTTTGCCCGGATTATTACTTTATATGCTTAGAGCAAACACTTGAGAAAGAAACGATTGATATCCCCATTTTTGG